CAAAACGTACGTACGTATGCAGGCGGGCGGCTGGACGAGCGTACTCCAGTCGTAACCACTTCTGCAGCTATCGCAAGTGGTGGTCGTGAGACAGCGATCGCAGTTTGGAATCGGACAGACTGATGATAGTAATGATGATAATAAGATGATGATGGTGGTGGTTGTGGTAATGATAGAATGATGATATGATGATGATGATAATGATAATGATGATGCTGATGATGATGGTGGTAATGATAGAATGATGATGATGATAGGATGATAGAATGATGATGGTGATGATAGAATGAGAGAATGATAATGATGATGGTGGTGGAGGTTATGGTGATTCCCTCACATGCACAGGTGGGTGGACTGAGGGCAGTGTTCCAGAAGTAGGAATCGTAGCAACGAGTGCAGACACTGCTAGATAGACAGATCAGACAGTAGTCCAGTCTGCAAGTAGCTGCATGAATGAATGAATGGAGGAATGAGTGAATGAATAAACGAATGAATGAATGGATGAATGAATGGATGAATGAATGAATGGATGAATGGGTGAGTGAGTGAATGAGTAAATGAATGAGTAGAAAACAGACGGGGTTAACAAATTGCATGAAAAAAAAACAACTTAATGCAAAAATCATTAGTTAACGTTAAAACCGAAACCAAAAAACTACTCCAAAACGATACGGAGAAAAACCATTTCGATACGAAACTAAACGCAAAACGGTACCAGAGCGAAACAGTTCTACAGAGAAGAATAATACTTTTTAAGGGTACTTACGAGAGCACTGGCCAGTGTTATCAACGTAGTAGCCATTGTTACACAGGTAGCATTGGTTCGGAGTCAGACATTGGGTGCAGTACTGAACATTGCACTGGGCTAGGTCGAAGATGAATGAATGGATGAATGAATGGATGGATGGATGAATAAATGAGTGAATAATTGAATGAATGAATGAATGAACGAACGAATGAACGAACGAACAAATGACACGTTATGATAATGATGATGACAACAATATCAACAATTACAACAAAAGAAATTTCTTACGATCACATCTGTTACTAGCAGAGTTCAGATTGTAGCCGGGATTGCAGCCACTGCAGACGTTCGGCGCGCTACAGTAAGCGCAGTTGGCCACATTACATTGCGCTACAAAATGAAAGGAAGAATGAATCAATCAATCAATCAATCAATCAGTCAATCAATTTGAAAATAACTGAAAAAATAAATAAATAATGCAATGAGGTTCACACTTAACAACGTGCAAGTTTTTACATTCTCAGTATGTGATTAAATGAACGAACGAACGAACAAGCTAACGAAGAACGAACGAACAAACGAACGAACGAACAAACGAACGAACAAACGAACGAACGAACGAATGAACGAACGAACGAACTCAGTACTTACGATCACATCTGTTGCTGGCCACGTTGAGATTATAGCCTGGGCTGCACTGGCCACAAACATTCGCTGAATTACACACGTAACAGTTGGTCACCTGACATTGTACTGAATGAAATATTTACAAAAATTATAACAATAATAACAATTTCATTATAAATTATCGTTATAATAAAGTTTATTGTATTAATTGTATAATATTAATAATAAAATATTACAGATTTCTATTGGATAGGAGCAGAATGTTTCGCCGATTTTTACAATCAGGTTTGAAATAAACTCAAAGACCAAGTAGTCAAACATTGCAATTTTTGTTTAAGCCGTCAGTTTATTCAAATTCCAGGACAATAACCGCTGATTATTATTATTATAATTATTATTATTATTATTATTATTATTACTATGGGGAAATTTATTTTGGCCGTCGTATCTGTTGAAACAACCGAATTTGAGCCAGAGAGATTGGTCATTATTATCTCGGTTGGAGAAAAAAATGTCAGGCAGACATTCTGGTATCTCTTTCTTCAGTGCCGTGTTTTACATTGTGAAGAAGTATAAACATTAAACATCCATATTTTTGTGGTTTCATAATTACATAATTTCATAATTTTAGAATTACATAATTTCAGAATTACACAATTTCATAGTTACATAACTTCATAACTACATAATTTCAAAACTACATAGCTTCATAATTACATAACTTCATAATTTCAGAATTACACAATTTCATAACTTCATAATTACATAACTTCATAATTACACAACTTCATAATTTCATAATTACATAACTTCATAATTACATAACTTCATAATTTCATAATTACATAACTTCATGATTTCATAACTTCATAATTACATAACTTCATAATTACATAAATTCATAATTACATAACTTCATAACTTCATAATTACATAACTTTATAATTACACAACTTCATAATTTCATAATTACATAACTTCATAATTTCATAATTACATAATTTCATAATTTAATTTCCGAACTCACCGACGCACGTTCCACTGCTGCTGTCCAGGTTGTAGCCACCACTGCACTGGAGGCACCTGCTGGCCGACTGGCAGATGAGGCAGTTCGGGACGTTGCATTGTACTGTTGGTGATGATGATGATGAAGAAGATGATGATGAAGAAGATGATGATGAAAAAGATGATGATGAAGAAGATGATGATGGAAAAGATGATGACGATGATGGTGATGGTAGTGGTGGTGGTGATGATGATGATGGTGATGGTAGTAAAGATGATGATGATGGTAAAGATGATGATGATGGTAAAGAGGATGATGATGATGATGGTGGTAGTGATGATGATGATGATGGTTGTGATGGTAAAGATGATGGTGGTGATGATGACGATGATGATGATGGTAGTGGTAGTGATGATGTTGAGGATGACGAGGATGATGATGAAGGTGATGATGACGACGACGATGATGATGATGATGGTAGTGATGATGATGATGATGATGATGATAATTTCAGTGGCCACGGCCACAGCCACTAACAGTCGCATCGGTTGATGGCCAGGTTCAAGTTGTAGCCACTGTTACAGGCAGCGCATACGTTAGGAGAATTGCAGACCGCACAGTTAAGAACATTACACTGAACTGTTAATCATAATTAATTATAATAATTTATGATAATTTATGATAATTATGATGGAGCTATGGAAATTTATCGTCAGCATCATCGTCGTCGTCATCATCTACATCGTCGTCGTAATTTTCACCATCATTTTCGTCATCACCATCATCATTATCATCTTTTTCTTCACCATCACAATCATCATTATCATCTTTTTCTTCACCATCACCATGATCATCTTTACCATCATCTTCACCAACATCATCTCTGCTTCCATCGTCGTCATCACAGCCATCATAATTACAATAATAATCATCTTCATCTTTGTCATCACCATCATCACCATCCTCATCATCACCATCATCACCATCATCACTATCATCATCTCACCATCACATCTGTTGTTGAGTGTGTTCAAGTTGTAGCCAGAGTTACAGACGGCACAGACGCTCGGCCTATTGCAAAGATAGCAATTCAAAACCTCGCATCTGACTGTTTCGGCAGAAATTTATCTCTCATTTTGTAATGCCATTCAATTGTAATATTACTGCTATTTTAATGTAATTTAAGGTTATTTTAATGTAATTTAAGGTTATATAAAGTAATTTAAAATTATTTAATGTAATCTCAATGTTATTTTCAATGTTACCTAGTGTAAATTTATTTTTATGCGATTTTATGTCATTTTATGTGATTTTAAGGATATATTAGTGTAGTTTTTAAATTTACCCGAGGTAACTTCAATGCTATTTTCAATGTATATGTAATGTAGATTTATTCTACGTGATTGTAAATTTATTTGACGGGATTTTATGACCTGATTCAATGTGATTTAATGTAATTTCTATTTAACTTTTTCAACATTTTCCTCAAACTTGACATTTTTTCTCAGTTTATTTTTGCAATTTTAAAAGGCACACCGCCATTTAAATAGTAAAGAAATTGTTGAAATTGATATCTACTTGAAATTAAAAATGTATTCAAAATTTTTTGTTTTGGAAAATTTGACTTGAGTGTAATAGTGTATCCAGATTACAATAGTGTATCCAGATTACAAAAATGCCAGACATACAGACTTCTACAGATGTTGTTTTCAAGGATGTATCCATCGAGGCACTGGTTGCAGAGGTTTGCCTGGAGACAGGTTATGCAGTTGACAATGTTGCACGAGATCTGGGCTTCTGACGATGGGTGGAAAAATTTATTTTAATTTATAAAAAATGAAAGAATGGATGGATGGATGAATGAGTGAATGAAAGAATGAATGAGTGAGCGAATGAATAAATGATGAATAAATGAAGGAACGAACGAACGAACGAGCGAACGAACGAGCAAGCAAACAAACGAACAAACAAATGAATGAATGAATGATTGAATGAATAAATAATTTCACTCACCGCGACAGCTGCCATTTTCCAGGACAAAATTACCGAAGCATTGGGAGCACTTGTTGGGCTCAGAGCATCGTTGGCAGTTCGGTACGTTGCATTGGGCTGGAAAAAAATTATAAAAAAAAATATAATATTAAAATAATTACTATTATTATTCATCATCATCATCACTACATCACCACCACCATCGTCATCATTATCATCACTATTATTATCATCACCGTCATCATAGTCATTACCATTATCATCATCATCAGTATCATCACCACCACCACCATCATCATCAGTATCATCATCACGATACTTACGAACGCAACTATTTGGTGCATTCAAGTTGTAGCCACTGTTGCATAGATTGCACTGGTTCGGCGTTAAACATTGCTGGCAGTTTGGCACGTTACACTGAGCTGAGGTTTTAAAAATCAAACTAATTACATTATTTTAAATAAATAAATATATTCTTGATGGTTACGACTTTCACATTTGCTAGATAAGTTCCTTAAGGAACTCTTTCACACCCATACTGCCCTCTTATCATGATGTTGCATCATGTTGGGAAGGAAAATAAAAACATTGTATTGTATTGTATTGTGTTGTATTGTATTGTATTGTATTGTGTATTGCATTGTATTGTGTTGTATTGTATTGTATTACACTGTATTGTATTTATGTTGTATTGTATTGTATTGCATTGCATTGTATCGTATCGTATCGTATTGTAAAAGAGATTAGATTTCTCTAACGAATGCAGTTTCCGTTGTTATCCAAGTTGTAGCCAGAGTAGCAAAGAGAGCACCTATTTGGGGTCGAGCATTGCTGGCAGTTTGGAACGCTGCACTGAACTGGGGTTGGGCGGGCAATAAAATGTTGTGAAATTTTCAAACTGAATCTTATTACAAATGATAATAATATTCAGTTCGATAAGTTAATTGGTTAATTGGATAAATATATATTTATTCGTATTGCTGGGTCGAGCATTGCTGGCAGTTTGGAACGCTGCACTGAACTGGGGTTGGGCGGGCAATAAAATGTTGTGAAATTTTCAAACTGAATCTTATTACAAATGATAATAATATTGAGTTCGATAAGTTAATTGGTTAATTGGATAAATATATATTTATTCGTATACACACACACACACACACACATACACACACACTACACACACTACACACACACACGCAAACAGAGAGAGACCCACAGAGAATAAGAGAGAGAGAAAGGGACACGCTCACACAGACAGACAGACACATACATACACACACACACATAGACACACAGACTCATACACATTTTAGCTAACTAGGCATGTATACTTTTGTAAAGTTTTGTGTAGGGAATGTGAGATTCAGTTTCAATCCCACTAAACCAAACCATCCCAAACACCAAAAAACGCATTTCTCAATAACAACAATTTGAAAAACTTGATCTGATCTATACGGGGTTTTAGGTCATTTTTTAAAATTTCAAATCTAAAATGAATGAATGAATGAATATGAATGAATGAACGAACGAACGAACAAACGAACGAATGAACAAATGTAAAAAGGCAATATTTTGTAAGACTAACGGATGCAGTTTCCATTATTATCCAAACTGAAACCAGAGTTGCACTGGGCACACCTGTTCGAAGTAAGACACTGCTGGCAGTTTAGCACATTGCACTGTATTGGCAGTACTGTTTTCAGCCAAAGAATTCATTACAAAATATAATTTATTTAATAAAATTAAATAAATTTTAATTAAATTATCCATCCCGATTTTTCTAGCTTCATGATTAGAATAATATATTTCAAATTATTATTATTTATTTATTAGTTTAATGATTAAAAACTTTAATTAAAAATTAGCGGAAATATAAATCCGGTCATACTAACACACACAAGTCCCATTGTTAACTATATAGTAGCCGGCATCACACTGGGCACAAAAGTTTGGAATTTGGCAGAACGTACAGTGCGGAATGAAACAACTAACTGTGTGTTTGTGTGCGTGTGTGCGTGCGTGTGTGTGTGCGTGCGTGTGTGTGTGCGTGTGTGTTTGTGTGCGTGTACGTATGTGTGTGTGTGTGTGTGTGTGTGTGTGTGTGTGTGTGTGTGTGTGTGTGTGTGTGTGTGTGTGTAGTTTGTGTGTGTCTTCATTTAGGTTTTATTCAAAGACTGCTTAAGTTTGAATGGTTTACTTTTAAAATGGCTCTGAATGAGTTTTGTACATTTAATAGAATATCTTATTTAATTAAAAATACATATAGATACCAAACAATTATGATACTTGACACATAGAAACAAAACAATTATGATACTCTACATATAGATACAAACGATCATGATACTTTACATATAGATACAAAACAATTATGATACTTTACATATAGATACAAACGATCATGATACTTACGCACGCATATATTCAAACTGTTTAAGACGTAGCCATTCATACAGGTATTGCATTGATTAGGCCCTAGACACACCTGACAAAACTGAACGTTGCACTGAGCTGTTGAAATTCATTTCAAAATTTCAAAAGTCATTTTATCACGATTAGTATAACTTAGTTGTCTGCTATCTATTCAAACCAAACTTTATTTAAAAACGTGTGTTTGTTTGTTCAAGTTATTATAGAGCCAGTAAGTGGCAGTCATATCAGCTTTTGAAAGTCTGGATCACCCAGAAATCGAACCAGGTTACTGCAACTCTCTCTTCAATCAGCCTTTCTATAAATCAAAACAGAAAGATTTTCCTACTTACGGAGGCACATTCCGTTACTCAGGAAGAAGCCATTCTGGCACTGCGAGCAGTAGTTGGTGGTCTGGCAGCTGATGCAGTTTGCCACGTTGCAAGTGATCGGTGGCACTGTGTCGGTGAGGTTTCATCAAGTAATTTGTATGTGAATTTAGCAAGTGACTTTAAAGCGCTATTGAATTTTTGTATAATAATTCTCAATCCTAATAACACACGCACTCCCTATTGTTATTGAAGATGTATCCAGGATTGCAAGAAGTGCATTGGTTCGGAGTTGAACATTGCTGGCAGTTCGGCACGTTACATTGCGCTTGAATGAGATTAAAATAATCAGTAAGAAGTTTTTTTTTACAAAAATACAAAATATATTTTAACGAAGGAATCAAAAGTTGTTAGTCGGACTAACGAATGCATTCTCCGTTGCCGTTCAGGTTGTAACCGCTGTTACACTGGGAGCACCTGTTTGGCATGGAGCATTGCTGGCAGTTCGGCACGTTGCACTGAGCTGGATTGGATAAAAATAAAATCCACTAACTAGATATATTTTTACAGAGGCAAATCAACGCGTCAGACATTTTTGCTCATGATGTAAGCAGGAACCTCCGTGAAATCGGTTTCAATCGGTGCAGCTCTCTATGTAGTTAGCCATCCAAGAAATTAAAACAAAACTGAATTCCAACTTACGTGTGCACCTTCCATTGTTAAGAAAGTAGCCATTTTCGCACTGTGAGCAGTAGTTGTTGGTCTGGCAGCTGATGCAGTTCGGCACGTTGCAAGTTATCGGGAGAACTGTGTGGACGGGTTATCATCGAGTTACTTGTTTCTAAATAACACATCCGAGGTTATTTAGCGTAGTGCTGTTGGTGCAGTGTTATGAACTTTAAATGGAAAGATTCGCTGTTAAACTAACGAATGCAGTTTCCATTATTGTCCAATAGATAACCGCTGTTACATTGGGAGCACCTGTTTGGGGTGGAGCATTGCTGGCAGTTTGTCACGCTACATTGGGCTATATTTTTTTAGTAAAATAAAATATTAACAACGTTAAATTACTTAAAATAATGTATTTTATAACCCAAATTACTTAAAATAAAGTGTTTTATAAACCCAAATTACTTAAAATAAAGTATTTTATTTGTCTCATCTTTCAATCATTTAATTCATCCGTCAATCATTCAACTAACCCGCCAATCAGTAAACTCCTCCTCAATCAATTCATTCATCATTCAGTCTATCGCCAATTCACATAATTTACAATTCACCATAATTTGCAATTCACACGATTCACAACTCTAACCAACACACAGCCCGTTAATGTTGAGATAGCCAGGACTGCATGTTGAGCAGTAGTTATTCGTTCCAGGCCGACATTGTATGCAATTCGTTACGAAACAAGCTGTTAAAATTATTAAAATCATTACGTTCATTCAACTCTGCTAATATTAAATACAATATAAAACAAACGTATGGAAGCAGTAGTGGTTGTCGCAGTTGTAGCGGCTGTCGTAACTTTTGGTTCTCCTTTGGCGTTGCAAATATTTCTGGCAACTTTTCTCCAGACGCTATCCAAACTTGGATACTGGGCTGCATTGAAAAGGTGGTCGTCTAGTGGTCGAGATGCAATCCTCTGCAACTCATTTATGTTCACTCCTGTCCCAACTCCCATGACGAACAACTCTATGCCGAGATTTTTCAAGTTGTTAGCTTCAGGGATAGTTTGGTCCATTTCGATGTTCGATTCTCCATCGGTGATTAGGAATGCTACGTTCACCACGTTCGGTCGGTAACCTCGGCCCGGGTTGTAGACATTGGTTCGTGCAGCTCTTAAGCCGGATGCGATGTTCGTCTGACCGCCTTCTATCATCTCGTTTCTGAGTTTTAAGAAAAAATCTGAGTTAATTTGTTTGAAGAGTTGGGTCTGTTTGTATTTTATACACGTGCATGCATGAAACAAACCTGATGGCTGGCAAAAGAGTTGAAATGCTTGTGTAGTTGTTCAGCAAGATGGGTACGTTGGCGTTGTTGCTGAACTTGACGACAGCCACCCTCGTGCCATTTGGCGAGACGTTGAAGTTTTTTATGACACTCGAAACGAATCCGAGCAGATCTCGATACCAGAAGTCCTGGTCACCGCTGGCGACGATGCTGCTTGACTGGTCGAGGATGAATGTGATGTCCACTGGGCTGGAACAGTCTGCAAGATAGTGGCCAGTTGGTCAGTTTTAAAATTGCTATTTTTTTTGAAGATTCTTTTTTCAATCCATTTTATTCACAAAAAAAAGTATGAAAAGCTTGATCAATCTTTAAACAAATAAAAAATATCATAATCAAAATCAACCTCATCATACTCATCATTTTCATCATCCTCATCATCCTCATCATCTTCATCATCATTCTCATCACCATCTTCACCATCAACAAATCCAACCTGGCGGAGCTGTATTAGACCTACAGCTCGCCTTCACTACACTATCCAGAAACGACAACTGCCCCAATGTGTTGAAATCCTCTGCTGGTATGAAATAATCCGGGCTTGAGGCAATAGCTTTTAGCTCGTCCGGTGAGATGTCGTTGGTGACACCAATAGTGTATATTGTTACATTCATGTTTTTTAAGAGCTGGGCTTCGGGGTAGGTCTGTGAGATTTCAACATTCGATCGACCGTCTGTGATGACGATGGCGATGTTTGGCACCCAGTCACGTTCTCCGTTGCCCTTGGCGAAGGTCACCTGACGGAGGGTTCTGATTGGTTGGAGAGTGGGATGTTGTTGTTGTTGTTGATTGGTTGGTTAATTTGTTGTTGTTTGGTGGTTGTTGTTGGTTAGTTTAATTGTTGTAATCTAGTTAGGGATTGATAATTTGAAGGATTGGGTCATGGTCAGCTGATTGGCTGCCTGGCTATGTTTCACTGGACGAATGAATGCCTGCTTTTTGTTACTAACCATTTCATACGCAAGCAAACATTCCTACACCAAAAAGTTGGAAACAAAAAACTAAACAAAAAGTCAAATTCAAAACTGAAAAGACAAAATTTAAAACACAAAACTGGAAATACAAAACTCAAAAATACCTCAAACCCATCGCCGTATCGGTATTCTCGTTAAACTGTAGAATATTATCAATAGCCTGGTACATCTCTTCTTTAGTAGAGAATGTCGTAAAGTTGAAAACCACTTCGGCTTTTTCGCTGAAGTGCACGACGGCTTGTGAATCCCAACCCGATTCTAATCGACCGATCAAATTTTTGGCGAATCTTCTCATGGCACGGAACGGGCTGATTTGTTGGCCGGTCACAATACTTCCAGATGTATCCATTAGTATTGCTACGTCTTTCATTTGGCATCCTGTGTGTGTGTGTGCGTGCGTGCATGCGTGTGTATGCGTGTGCGTGTGTATGCGTGTGTGCGTGTGTTGTTTTGTGATATGTTTTAGAAGTCGTGCGTATGTCTGGTGTGTACTTGTTATCAAGTTTTTTTTTCAACAATCTTAGTTTTATACTGCTTTTCTTGGCATTTTTCATTTCAACTGTTTACACTTCTACATTTAAGTGCATCCGCACTTAAGCGTAGAACATGCGAATACGTGCAGTTTCAGTTTAAACACTTGTTAGGTGCACGAGCCCCTAAGAAATGATTTTATAACAATGATTTGGTATTATATTTTTCATAATTTTTATCTGAATCAATAAACTAGATGAATGTTTTTTTGAGAATAATTTTTCCACGTTCTAACTGAACTTTATGACCTCGTTAATGATTTAACAAAGACCTCGAAATTGTCTCTTATCAATTCTCAGAAATTTTGTAAAATATCTGATCACAAAAATGCTATTTATATTATTTCATTTTATTTATATTATTAATTATTATTATTATTTTATTATTATTATATTATTTTATTATTAATATAATATTATTGTTCCACCATAATATCAGAAATCCTATAGACAAAGCGATAGACTTGAATCACGACGAAAAAGCGTGTGAGATTAGTATTATTTGTAGTAGTAGTAGTAGTAGTGGTAGTAGTAGTAGTGGTAGTAGTAGTAGTGGTAGTAGTAGTAGTAATAGTGGTAGTAGTAGTAGTAGTAGTAGTGGTGGTAGTAGTAGTAGTAATAGTGGTAGTAGTAGTAGTAGTAGTAGTGGTGGTAGTAGCAGTAGTAGTAGTAGTAGTAATGGTGGTGGTAATGGAAGTTTGTAGTAGTAGTAGCAGCAGTGGTAGTAAAAGTAGTAGTAGTAAGAATAGTAGTAGTAGTAAGTAGTAGTAGTAGGTAGTAGTAGTAAGTAGTAGTAGTAGTAATAGTATTAGTAGTAGTAGTAGTAGTAGTAGTAGTAGTAGGAGTAGTAGCTCCAGTAAATAACTGAGTCATTTTTTATATGAAAGAATGAATGAATGAATGACTGAATGAATGAATGAATGAATGACTGAATGACTGAATGACTGAATGAATGAATGAATGAATGAATGAATGAATGAATGAATGAATGAATGAATGAATGAACGAACGAACGAACGAACGAAAGAGCGAACGATCGAATGAATGAATGAATGAATGAATGAATAAATGAATGAATGGATGAATGAATGGATGAATGAATGAATGGATAAATGAATGAATGAATGAATAAACAATATTTCTTCTCATGCGTGGTTTCGAATAGTCACGACTGTTAAAACGAGCCGCTTAAATATTTAACGATTCCTTTGTTATTCACGGCACAACCAAACAAAAGAAACACAAATACACACACACATACACACACAAACACTCCGTAACCACAAATGCAAGCAAAATTAATTTAAACTGCCTGCAGTCTGTAGATGGCTTATTCGTAGCCTTTTAATTTTATGTTTAAGACCTCGGTAAATAGAGTTTAGTATGTGTGTTTGTATGTGTGTGTGTTTGTATGAGTGTGTGTATGTGTGTTTGTATGTGTGGGTAGGGTATGTTTGTATGTGTGAGTGTATGGGTGTATGTGTTTCTTATGTGTGTGTGTATACGTGTGAATGTTTGTATGTGTGTGTGTGTGTGTGTGTGAATGTTTGTGTGTATATGCACGACAGTGCGTTTATACAAATGCTTAATAGTAGGTCAAACTTTGTTTACAGAGCGACTAAATGATGTACGACTTGATTGGCCATGAAGGAAAATTTGAATAAAATTATGTATGTATGTGCGTGTGTTTGTGTGTGTGTTTGTGTGTGTGTGTGTGTGTGTGTGTGTGTGGTATGTAGTTTTATCAAAACTTTTATATGGTCGTGACGTGTTTTTATTGAAAAATCAAATGCTTCTTAACTCACAGATTCATTGATTGAATCATTCATTTCATTAACTTATTGATTGATTAATTAATTCATTAACTGATTCATTAAATCATTCATTCATTAATTAATTTGTTCGTTCGTTCGTTCGTTCGTTCATTCATTCATTCATTCGTTCATTCGTTCATTTCGTACAATTTCGTCATATATCAAATTGCGGGATGTTATATATAAAATGGGAGTCTGACATAGGATCAATGAATCAATATGTATGAATGCATTCATATATGTGTGTATGCATGCATGCATGTATGTATGTATGTATGTATGTATGTATGTATGTATGTATGTATGTATGTATGTATGTATGTATGTATGTATGTATGTATGTATGTGCGAGCCCTTGGTTAAAAACAATAGCCATAAAAACTATCATTTCGCCCCTGCTCAACAGATAATATTAGTGTGCAGGGTCTCGCACAGAAGGGCACTTAGCAATGTTCTCTAAAATACAAAATGAATTAAACTTTTGTAACAACAACGATATATTTTGCTTTATATAAATTTTATCATTGGGATCACCAGATTTTTCAACTATTTTAGTAGCAATGTTATCAAAAAATAATTGTGTCTGTTTATCCACTGGGCCAAATGTCTCCACACAGATCGGAACAAAAACTCTCGTATTGTCGTTTAAATCTTTATACTTAGTATTTTTGAAATCAGCAGCCTTCACCGCGGCGGAACCTTGCTTCATAGCCGTGTAATTGATGTACCTTTCGGCTAACGTGTGAGGGAACGTCACATCCCATGATAAACAACAGCCTTGGGACCACGGTACCAGGGTGTAACCATCTGGCCTGAAGTTGCTTTCAGATAGTAGGCCTGCTGGTTCCTTAACGGCGGGTATATCTGCTTTCTGGAATAATTTCATATATAATCATTCATGGCAGAGTGTCTTGCTTGTCTTCCTGAACCAAGCCTACACGATAAACCATGGTGACCCAACTGAGAAACATCCGCCCCACACAAGCATCTGTAACCTGACACCACCGGCAACCCAAGTCTCAAGCATAAACTCACTCTAATAGAACCATTGTCGAGCCTTGTACCACAAGCTGTACTGGGAATGGCCCTTAGCCAAGCAGACCCCAATTCACTTCTGACGGCCATCAACCTGGCCTTATCTGAGGGAGAGTCATTTAATTCCTCCAGTTTCGATTTTGAAACATTCAAAGATGGTTCATTCCATTTCTTCTGCGAACACACATTTATGTCCATTATATCTACGTAAACCGTGCACCACCGCCGAAATGCTGACGGTGCCAACTCGGCCACGACACCCAAACCCAGTCCACCCATATTTACCGGCAATATAGCCTGCTTCCAACCTTTATCATCAAAAAACACATTAAATATCTTCTGAAAACCCATGCGTAGTTCGTTGTTGAATTCATCTGACTTTTGTTGAGACGGGCCAGGAGATGTACGTAAAAAGTATGACAGCCTTGGAATGAATGCTGCCTGCGTCAATAAGACAAGGGCGTCATGCTTGCCAATCTCCGTCATCATTGATATAATATGTTTAAAATCCTCCAGCTTTTTAGCCCAAAAATTATCATGGCGTTTTCCTCTACAAACTATCGAACCCAAAAATTCTAGGTCATTCATCTCAATTATTTTAATTCTTTTGTATGTATGTATGTATGTATGTATGTATGTATGTATGTATGTATGTATGTATGTATGTATGTATGTATGTATGTATGTATGTATGTATGTATGTACGTATGTATGTATTTATGTATGTATGTATGTATGTATGTATGTATGTATGTTAAAACCAAAACATGATGAGTGACACTGAACCGTCAAACAAAATTGTATGAATGTTTGCATGTATGTATGTATGTATATATGTATGTATGTACGTATGTATGTGTGTGTGTGTGTGTGTGTGTGTGTGTGTGTGTGGTGTGTGTGTACAGAAATTGGACATCGGCTTATTGCATACAACACATGTCAGCTGTTTCCGTTTCATCATCATCATCATTATCCTCTTCCTCTTCATCATCATTATCATCACCATCAACAACAACAACGACATCACCATCATCATCATCATAACTAACGTTCAGTTTGATTGGCTTGTCCATAGCAATACCCGCTAAGCATAATCATCATCAGCAGCATGACCAGCTGACCGGAAGTGACAAGATGAAAGCACGTGACAGTAAATGACTTCCGGCAACATGGCGGCGGTAGAGATTTTTGATTGGTTCTGACTTGCGATGACGATCGTGACGCCATTTTCAGACGTAGCAGAAGTAGTAGTATTAGTAGCAGCAGCAGCAGTAGTAGTAGTAGCAGTAGTAGCAGTAGAAGTAGTAGAAGTAGTAGTAGCGGCAGCAGTAGTAGTAATAGTAGTAGTGGCAGTAGTGGTAGTAGTAGCAGTAGTAAAAATTAGCACCGTTAATATGTATGCAGATGTTGTTTTGTAGATACTATTAAAGTTATTATTATTATTGCTGTTGTTGTTATTATTGTTGTTTATTATTATTTTTATTATGGTTATTATTATTATTATGACGTCTTTCTTGTTATGCTGTTACGTCATGGAATTCTGAAGACTTGAATGAATGAGAAATGAATTTAAATTAATATAGTAAATCTCAATCGTCAGCTTTTCATATGATGAGATTTCTTTATGATGCGTGTATATGTGAGTATGTGAAAGTTTGTGTGTGTGTGTGCGTGTGTGTGTGCGTGTGTGCGTGTGTGTGCGTGCGTGTGTGTGTGCGTGTGTGTGTGCGTGTGTAAATGTTTGAAGAAATGTTCGCGCGTCTGTTGTATAAAATTTTGGAAGAAGAAGAATGTCATTCAGAGTTAAAATATGCATCACCATTATCGCTAATGAATTTGGATGAACAATTGAATGAATGAATGAATGAATAAACGAATGAACGAGTGAATGAAACCATGAATAAAAGACGGAATGAATAAAAGATTGAATGGTTTTCCCTAGTTGGATTGCATCCAGACATTGATAAAAAAAACTCCAACCTTACTTTCACGCAATTGTATTGTAGGTACGTATGTATGCATGAACATTTTTGTGTTTGTATGTTTGCATCTATGTATGTATGTTTGTATGAACTTGTATATGTACGTATGTTTTTATGTTTGTGTATATATACGTATGTATGTATTCTTTTTTGTTTTTATGGTCGCATGTGTGTTGTACGTATGTGTATGTATGTTTGTATATGTGTATGCTTGTATATGTGTATGCTTGTATGTTTGTATGTATAATCCATTGTTTCCAAATGTGTATTTTTTCAATTGCAAAGTTTTAGTAGGCAAATTTTAATTAAATTAAAAAATTTCAAACACAAAGATGATAGCAACCATAAAAAGACCTCCACAATAATTTATCATAAAAATAATTTAACATAAGCAATTTAATTAAAAATTAATAATATAATTTATTTCGAAACTATAATAATAATAATTATTATTATTAATTATGGCATAAATATTTCCTGTCTGTATATGTGTGTATGTTAATAATCTTACAACCAACACACACACACACTGTTCGAGAATAAATGCGATCTGCTACTATATCTATTTCATGGTTCAATGAATAATTATAATACATACATACATACATACATACATACATACATACATACATACATACATACATACATACATACATACATACATACATACATACATACATACATACATACATACATACATACATACATACATACATACATACATACATACATACATACATACATACATACATACATACATACATACATACATACATACATACATACATACATACATACATACATACATACATACATACATACATACATACATACATACATACATACATACATACATACATACATACATACATACATACATACATACATACATACATACATACCTACATACATACATACATACATACATACATACATACA